TCTGGAACCTGAGGCGGCCGCTTCAGTTTGCCTCATGGTAAGGCCAGTCCTGGGGCAGCCCCCCACCCGCAGCCTGTTTAACCAATTAACTGATTAAATCCCTAACTGAGAAAAGGGGCTAGACCAGTGGTGGGTACCGTGCAGCCCATCTGAGTTCTACGTGAGGCCAGCCAGACGTTTTGTTTACTGTTGACCTTGCAGGGTAGCCAATTTCTACTGATTTCCATCCACGTCATTTTTTCCTACCAGTATTACTAAAGTGGCACCCACATAAAGCCAGGGCATGTGAAGTCCCTGTCACAGGAGACTGTCCTGGTTACGACAACCTTGCAGCCCACTGATGCGGTCCACTCGCTAGCTTAAGTTGCCCATTTCTGGGTTAGACGGTTGGGACATTTGTGAGGTCAGTGAGAACTGCCAGGCTTAAAGGTTCCCAATGAGAACCAGTGGGATTCTAAGGCCTCGTCTGCATTACAAAGGATTTGCTGGTGTAGCTATCCCAAGGGAGATGCAGCTGAGAGCGGCAAAGGGGATATAAACAGGGCGGGTTACACACATGCTATATCCGGGAGGTTTATGGGGTTTTTTGTACACTCCTGACATAGGGGTTTGGAACGGGTCCCATATGAGGAGAGGTTAAAGCGACTGGGACTTTTCAGTTTAGAAAAGAGGAGACTGAGGGGGGATATGATAGAGGTCTATAAAATCATGAGTGGTGTGGAGAGGGCCGATAAAGAAATGTTATTTATTAGTTCCCTAAATAGAAGAACTAGAGGACACCAAATGAAATTAATGGGTAGCAGATTTAAAACTAATAAAAGAAAGTTCTTCTTCACACAGTGTGTAGTCAACCTGTGGAACTCCTTGCCAGAGGAGGCTGTGAAGGCTAGGACTATAATAGTGTTTAAAGAGAAGCTAGATAATTTCATGGAGGTTAAGTCCATAAAAGGCTATTAGCCAGGGGATATAATGGTGTCCTTGGCCTCTGTTTGTCAGAGGCTGGAGAGAGATGGCAGGAGACAAATCACTTGATCATTGTCTTCGGTCCACCCTCTCTGGGGCACCTGGTGCTGGCCACTGTCGGCAGACAGGATACTGGGCTAGAAAGACCTTTGGTCTGACTCAGTATGGCTGTTCTTATGTTCTTATCAAAACTTTGCAGTGTAGACCTGGCCAAAGGCAGCACTGGGTATCAGGCCAGGCCCTTACTGCACAGGTGCATTTTTAAAAGGTCTGAAACACCACTAACATACAGCTGCATCTTTTCGCACAGGTGTATTAAAGATGCGCATGCAATCCAGCGGCCTAACTTCCCAACACGTGCAAACCACTTTGGCGTCAACAATAAAAGCCACGGAGCTCTGCTCAGGTCAACAGGATTACAGAGTCTGGAGTCAAGGTTTATAAGATCTATTATTGTCCCCTAGTTTTATGGGATGAGACTTCTGTTAGAGACATAATGCTGGGATGCAGTTGTGCAATACAAACTCTCTGGCCCAGGCGAAATTGATCTTTGAATTATCAGAAAAAAATTTGGTTTCCGTCAGTCCACCTGCTAAATTCTAGCCAGGCAAGAAAGCACAGCTGTGGTTTGAAAAGGGTTTCATTTTCAGACACTTTCTCAAAACCAGCTTCACTTAAAAATAACATGTGAAAGAATGATGTTGCCTGCAATATAGAATCCTAGGGCTGGAAGAGACCTCAGGAGGTCATCGAGTCCAGCCCCCTGCCCAAAGCAGGACCAACCCAAACTAAATCAACCCAGCCAGGGCTTTGTCAAGCCAAGATTTAAAAACCTCTAGGGATGGAGATTCCACCACCTCCCTAGGGAACCCATCCCAGTGCTTCACCACCCTGCTAGCAAAATAGTTTTTCCTAATATTCAACCTAGACCTCCTCCACTGCAACTTGAGAGCACTGCTCCTCATTCTGTCATTTGTCACTACTGAGAACAGCCTCTCTCCTTCCTCTTTGGAACCCCCTTTCAGGAAGTTGAAGGCTGCTATCAAATCCCCCTTCACTCTTCTCTTCAGTAGACTAAATACATCCAAATCCCTCTGCCTCTCCACATAAGTTATATACTCCAGTTCCCTAATCATTTTTTTTATTTTTTGCCCTCTGCTGGACTCTCTCCAGTGCATCTGCATCCTTTCTGTAACAGGGCCCCCAGAAATGGGGCAATACTCCAGATGTGGCCTTATCAGTGCTGAAAAAGGGGAATAATCACTTCCCTAGATCTGCTGGCAATAGAAATTATTAGAACATTCAAAGAAAAAAATCTATTCAAAATGACTAAGCTGGTGTTTTAAAAAGTGTCACAGGTAAAAATGCCACAATCACCTAGTCCCACATCTTATTGAAAGACAATGGGATTTAGACCCTAGTCCCCCAAGTCACTTTTGATAATAGGATTTAGATTCCTAAATCATTTAAGCACATCTTTGAAAATTTTAACCTGCACGTGGAACAAACATTTCTAATAAGGGCCTTCAGTATGAACAGTTGCTGACTATGCCTTGAATACTGTACGTACAGCATAACATGAGGTATTGTGGTAACCTTACAGTGGATGTTGTGTACAACTGTTATACCTCATTTATTAAGCATGGTCTGAAATCACCGAGTATGTGAATGCATGTTTTTAATTGACAGGGGCAAAGGAAAGAGAAATACAATCTAAACACACACAAAAGATTGTGAACTAAACCCTTTTACAAAAAGAAGGTGCCCAGGTTGGAAGTCATGCTATTCTGCAGAAGCCTGAAGGGTGTATTATTTGAAACTCCCTAAAATTCTAAGCTAACAAAACATATTCCAGGTCACTTGGAGCCCCTCTGGTCTCCTAGTTCTATGGTCTTCAGACTAGGCAAGCATTTTGCATACGCAGCAAAGTATGACTTTTATAAAAGCAACACAAAACCGTAATTTTTGTCTGACCTTTTGTTTCTTGAAGGAAACAATTTATTCTGCTCTTTTAACACTCACAATGAGTCCGAATACAGCAGCACATATGGTGGGTGACCGGAGTCCTATCTAACACCTTGATATATTACAGGGTGAGTTAAGGACAATGCTGCAGCCTTTGATCTTAATTTCCCGTTTAATTTGGAGACAGCCCCTTAGCATGACTTGCATAACTCTGTGTGTATTAAAAATATTAACTAGCCTGTCAAAAACAGCTCTTCCCCAGCAGGGGACACCAGGTGCACTTGGCTAATTGTGCTTTCCCCAAATTATGATTTAATAACATCAAGTAGCTTAAACTGGAATTTTAAGGTTTGAATTTAAAAAGCTTTCACTGTATTAGTGAGAATGTTATTTCATTTTGAAGCTAAAAGTTTCTTTTCTTTCTTTCTTATTTATTTTTTGCTTTGATTCCTATGGAAAAGCATATGCATGCTGCAGATTTGTTATCTAATAATTAACTAATTAACCTATGGAAAGGAAATCGTTGTCTGCACTATTAAAGATAGTTTCTACAGGGATCTTGTTTCATTTTGCTAAAGAACTTGTTTAGTTTACTCTGGATTTATATGTTCTAAGACTTCTCCTTTAGGTTCAAACGCTCCCACTGTGTTGTGTGCAACCCAAACATTGCAGCATTGTGTGGAAGTGCGAAAGTGAAACTGACTAGACTGGAAGCAGTGGTCTATCTCCATTTTCCCAGCCGGGGCAAAGAGTAAACAAACAGCATACATGACAAAAAAAGTACATTCGAGTTTTAAATTTTTAACTCCCGCCCTTTCTCCCCCATCTGAGGCCGTGTGAGAACCACAGTGACAGCTATTTTACTTGTATTTCACACAAAATATCATGTGTCGCCTGGGTGTCCTTTTTGCTCTGTGATTTTACAACGGAAAGGGGTCCCGATTCAGGCAACTAACCCTTTGTTGTCATTTACTGGCAGGACTTGATTTCAACACCACCAATTGTTCACCTGCATTTTATAGCGTGATCTAGGCAATTTGCTCAGGACCCTCTCCTCCTTGCAGGTCAGTGAACCAGGAGGGGGGAATGGCTGTGAGCAAATCAAGGGACCTATTCCACGGGAGGAGCTTTTCTCCCGAGAAGACATTTGGTAGTTTGCTGCCCTTCCTTGGCCAGATCCGCAACCCTGGCACCACCGACCTCGGTGCCGAAAACCAGACAGCAAAGCCCCACTTAGTTCTGCACCCCCAAAACACTTCCACGCTCCCGACAGTTTCTCTCCGGCTTCTTGCAACTCAGAGCAGAGCAAAGGGGACGGAGGGGGGGAGGGGAATACTTTGTGCTCCTTTGAAATTGACTCGAGGCTTGCAACTGACTAGCCATTGGCTTGCAGAAGACTGGCAGAGCTGTAAACCCATCTGCTCGGCCCCAGCTGCGAGCGGGGTCCTTGCTCTTGTATTATGATTAGTATTTTTACAGGAAGCCTGAAAGTCCTCTCGCTTTTCCTCGCCCCTAATTTTCTCCTTCAAAAGATGGCGGGCAGAAGGAGAGAGAGAGAGAGAGGGGAAAAAAATCCCTTCCGTAAAAGAGATGGACTTGCGACCTCGCAGCGCCGCACAAACTCCAGCCTTTTAGAGGGGATGGGGCGCTACGGTGGGAGGGGGCGGCAGAGAAGGAGAATGCAACGAGAGAGGCAGGGTCTCGGCTGCAGACATCCCCCCCTTATAGCTCCTGATGGGGCTGCTTTGGGCGCCGGGTTAGAGAAAGGAGGAGGGGGAAGAAGAAAAAGAGAGAGAAATCAGCGGCCACACTGTATCCAATCTCCAGCTGGCTTTGTTACATTGTTGCAAGGCACAAAGGCTGCAGCACCAAGCGGAGCGTTAAAGGGCTTGTACACACACATGCACACACACACACATGCACAAAAAGCGCATTAGCCTTTCCCAAGTGGGTTTTGCATTCACCTCCCTCCCGCCCCCCCACAAATCCCCCTCCTCCAGAAAACATGGCCCGGTGCTAGCAATGCAAAACAAAGCATCGAACGAATAAAGGGTAAGATTAAATAGATTTACTTTGCCCCGGCAGCTCCAGCAACGTTTGCCTTATAGTTCCTCCAGTTGCTCTTCTTTTTATCCTCAGCAAGGCAGCATAATAGATGCGCTAAAGCTATGGAGGGCTCATGCGCCTAGGCGCAAGGCCATGTGGGGAAGGCAGTTTTTGCATCGAGCAAGGGAAAGAACCTCGGTAGTCCCAAGGACTACACCTCCCAGAATCCATCGCGCTCCTCCTTCTGCTTCCCCCCCCCCTCCTCTCTTGGCCCAGTGGCCAGGAGAGAGAAACAGGAGGGGGTTATTCCTAGGTCAGCGGGTGTGTTTGTCATTGAAACCTGCCCCTTCCCCAGCAGAGGCAAGGTCTAGGTTGGTCTGGGGGGGACTTGGGGCAAAAATCTGCAAAGGTTTGTTGGTTGGGGGGCTCCCTAAGGGGAGATATTGCTGGGTGAAAATCCAGGCTTCCCCTCTCCGCCTGGCTTTGCTCCTCTCAGGCGCTCAACATACAGCGACAAGAGCCCTTAAAAGTGCAACTGGAAATGTGCAGATTCTTTAAGCGCCCTATAATGCTTTTTTATCTCCTGGAGACATGCGTGCCGGTGTATACCAAGGTCGTATGCGCTTTATTGTTATATATTTTTTGTATGGTTTGCATTGGCTAGCGCACACTCTCAGTTATTATGCAACAAGCTATCCAAGTCACAATAAAAACAGAATGCAACCAAATGTAAAATATAACAGCATGTCATGGAATGCATCCAAATGTAAATCAGGTTGTAGTTTTGCAGTGGTTAAAATATTTCATTTTATATATATTTATACATTTTTTATGATTTGCATTTGTCGGATGAGTGCATCTTTTTTATTTTGGTTTGCAATGACATTTACATATACATATGTTATTGCAAAAAAAAAAAAAAAGATGCAATCATCCAATAAATGCAAATCATAAGAAGTGTAGACATTAAAAACACACACTATAAAGAGCATCAGGTGTGAACATTTTTAGAAGCACAAGTTGTAACAAAAAGGGCAGTCTGTATTGAATTGGATGGACAAATGCAAACACTGATAAAAAGAACAATATCGATATATTATTACAACCAAAAGCATGATTATATTGCTTCAGTACAAAATATAGCAATCGGAAAGTGAATGCAGGAGAAACATTTGAATGTCAGTATAAAATAAGTAGTAGCTAAGGGATTTCTCTCTGGAATTATATGCCAATAAAGGCTGCCATGCTCCTTGTTATATAAACAGCCAGACATAGATGCCAATTAATAGTTGGAGGCACTTTCATTGTGAGACTTTGTTTTCAGAGGATACATTTCTGAAAAATGTGACCTATGGGACTGAAATTTCTCAGGCCTGTGCTCATCACAGTTATGATTTTGTTTTCTTATGGGAGCAAGGAACAGAATAGATAAGGACATTCCATTTAGCTGGTTTTGCAGTTATCGAAGAATGAAATAAAACAAAAAATGTTGTATATGCTTTTTTATTTTTCATTCAAAAATGTGCTTTTAGTTCGCTCCAAACTAAGTTTGCCTTGCCAACAAGGACTTAGTAATTGGAAACACATTGGCAATATGAACCATTGGACCACAGATTTCTTAGGGCATGTCTTCACTACACAGTGGATCAATGGGCAGCAATCAATACAGCAGGGGTTGATTTATTGTGTCTAGTAAATACTCGATCAATCAACTGCCAGGCACTCTTTGGTCAACTCTGGTACTCCACTAACACTAGAAGAGTAGGTGGAGTCAATGGAAGAGCATCAACTGTTGACTCATCTGAAGAAGGGGGTTGTGCCCACGAAAGTTCATGATACCATCTACATCAGTGGTTCCCAAACTTTTCGGCACCACGCCCCCTTTTGGATTTTTGAAAAACCCTCACCCCCCCAACAGCAAAACTTGTTGAGAAAAAAAAGGAACTGACCGGGGCAGCAAAACTTGATGGGAAGGGCTGGATTGCTTCATGGCCCCCGAGGGGGGCACGCTCCCCAGTTTGGGAACCCATGATTTACGTGTTTTTGTTAGTCTTTAAAGTACTACCGGACTATTTGTTGTTTTTTAAGTTTATTCTGTACAGACTAACTCAGCTACCTCTTTAAGCCACAGTAAAGATGTAAGTACATCTACTTCAGCCACATTATTCTTGTAGTTGAAGTTGTGTAAGTTGTCTACAGCCCATGGTAGTATAGACAAGGCCATAGAAAATACTGCCACCACAATAGTTGAGGCTGCGTCTGTACAACCAAAACCCACATTTATTCCTGTTAATCTGGTAAACACACAGGCTACGTCTAGACTGGCCCCTTCTTCGGAAGAGGCATGCTAATTTCTAACTTTGGAATAGGGAAATCCGCCGGGGATTTAAATAAACATGGCCACTGCTTTTTTTCCGGCTTTCAAGTAGGAATAAGAGATCCTCCGGAAAAGGGCTTTATTCCGGAGGATCGCGCCAGTCTGGACGCTCCTTTCCGGCTTTTCCCCAAGCCGGAAAAAAAGCGGCGGCCATGTTTATTTAAATCCCGCGGGGGATATTTAAATCCCCGGCGGATTTCCCTATTCCAAAGTTAGAAATTAGCATGCCTCTTCCGAAGAAGGGGCCAGTCTAGACGTAGCCTGTGTGTTTACATAATTACCATTAACATTCCCCTCATAGGTCTCAATCCTACAACCTAATCTACTAGCTCAGAGTATGGGAGTCCCACGGAAATGAATGGGCAGCTTGGTAATGGATCTAGTTGAATAGTCCACATAAGACAAAGAGAATGTTTATATCTTTCCTTGACTTATTGTGGCCTGACTACTTGCAGGGACAGGACACTGGAAAAAATGGGCCACTGGTCTAATCCACTATGGCAATTATGAAAGATACAGGACACAAAACTATCATATACATGCAAATCAAACATTCACGTAGCACAAAGAAAAATTGCAATTGCTATGCTAGACTAATTATGTCAAAATTAACAATGTGGCCTTCTGGATGTATCTGTCTTGTAGAATTTACTGCCATAAGCAAAAATATTAACATGTTTGTACTGTGATGATTAATATGAACAATAAATATTTTCTATTTGCCTATATCAGGCATGTCCAAAGTCCGGCCCGCGGGCCAATTGCGGCCCGTGTTCCGGTTTAATACGGCCCCCCCAGGTAATTTGGCAATATCTATCTTTTATGGCCCCCAACGAATCCATATGTATTGAGATGAATACATTGTAAAATCTCAGTTAATGTCAGTTGGTCTAAATCAGCTATGAATATATTTGGACACAACATGTATACTTGGTGTTATGTTCCTGTTCATATTTTTTGAACTTAAAAGTTGACAGACAACCTTTATTACCAATAATATGTAATGTACTTTACAATGTTCCTGACATATATTTCAGCTTCCTGGATTTTTTTTTCATCTGGCCTTCAGATATGAAAGGCAGAGTGATTTAACACCTGTTTAGATTTGTCATCCATGTGACGAAATGAAAAGTATGCCGTTTGCAATAAACTTTGCATAAAATAGTTAATTTGCATTTAATTTTAATGGTTCAAAGAATGTCAGGCAAAATGGTCGGCCCTCACGCATGTTCACTTCATCAAATCTGGCCCTCTTTGAAAAAAGTTTGGACACCCCTGAACTAGGAGGAGCAAGCTGCATCCTATAAAGGCATGTAGTACTGGGTGTGCATAAAACTGTACTTGCAGTGATGGAGCTGAAGTCTGCAGGGTTGTTCTGCATATACTCAACCTTCCTCTTCTTGTAAATACTACTCACAACCAGCCATCCTATTATTAAAAGTTTCTCAGTTGGGTAGATTATCCAATGAGGAGGACTTAAATGTTATGCTTCAGAAAGAGGCAGTAAAGCAACTGACAATAATACAAAAGGTTTGATTTTCAGAGGTGCTAAGCTCTGTAATTCCCACTGGATTCAATGCAAACTGCAGTTCTCAACACTTCCAAAAAGCAGACCAGTCATCAATATTGCCCCCTCCCGAGCATTCAAAAATCATCAGTGCGTCCCTCCAAAAAAGTCACTCACTTCAAAATAACTTTTGGGATTGTTTTATTTTCCTCTGGCATCATGGTTTTCAGAATTCATATTTTCCAGCTTTTCTCCGCAATCATGAGGGCTCGAAACATTCTTAACAAAAACCCCGAACAAATAAACAAACATGAGATTTTCTGTAATCACATGGTTCCCAGAGATGGGGCCTAAAGGAAAGCACCAAATATCCTAAGCCTTGCAACCAAGGACAACACTACGTGCTCTAAAGTGCAACAGGCAGGGAATCAAATTCAGGATCCTGGGTCCCACATTGTGAGTTAAAAACAAAGAAGATGGATAGTGAAATAGAGCTGAGGGCCACAGTCATTTCTGGTAAGCAGCCACAGCACTGTTGCTGCTCCAGAGAGCCAGGCTTCAGCTCCCTACTTCATTTTCTCAGCATAGCTGTCCCATTTAACACAGTTAATGGGTACTATAGGAGATAGGCTCGGACCGTGTCCTCCCAAATGCAAACCACACATTTAGGGCAGGCTTAGTGAACATCAGCTGGCCAATATTTGACTCAGAGTTGCCAGATGTCACCAGCTTTACCTGTCCTAGAGAATATTTACTCACCTCGGCTGCCAAATGGCTATGACATCCTCTTTGTTGAGTAGAACAGGGTGCGCCTTCAATTGCACCCAGCCCAGGAAGGCTCCGCCCTGCTCATCTCAAAGAGAAGTTCCCAGAGGAATCGGAACACTCCTTCAAGATGAGCACAATCACTCAAAGACATGTGACCCGACCCATTTGTTTCAATGGATGTTCTTTTCCCTCTCCCCTCAAGTCTACTCCGGGGCTACTCAACACGTGGCCCGCGGCCCGTTTGTTTGCAGTTTGGGTTTACGTGGGGCTCAATGCATGGCCTGCACATGGGATCCTTTGAACACAGCCTCCACTGGGAACACGCTCCACAACAGTGAGTCACTGTAATGGTCTTCTGTTGATATATATTTTAGTAGATAAATTCCTGGACTGTCATTGCTCATTAAATGTGCTGTCATATGGGTGGAATTTATTAATATCAGCAGAACCGACTTAAATGGGGCCTGCGTGTTGTGTAGTCTTGCCTTAATCTTTGTATTCATGCCCGTCCGTGTGAAAGAAGCTATTTGCATATATTTGCAT